CACTGGAAAGAGCGCCTTAAAATTAATGAAATGGCCAAATTTGAAAATGAAGTTACGCCGTAACTTCACTTTCAAATTTAGCCATTTTACAGACGTTGGTATGGTGGCGGGGCAAGTCTGTAAAATTTCGCGACTTTGAGGAGCTATATCTTCGTTAGTTTTCAACATATCACTTTTAAACTTGGCAGTTTTACTAATCTTAAGACGCTCTTTCTAGTGGTGTTAACGGATTGTCCCTAACTTGTCCATGTCAAAAGTTGAAAAAAAAAATGGTGAAAAGGTCTATGCGTATTAAAAAATACTAGGTTTAAAAATTTCCAGATTCGTGTGGACGTCACTTAGGGCGGATTCATTTGCGGCATGTGCGTATAGTCGTCGCATTAAGCTTAAAAGAAATTCCATCGAGCAAATACGACAATTATAAGCTTATGCTTCAAATGAACTCACCCCTACTGGGAGGATTGCATTGCAACATGGAAAATGGATGTTGTAGGTAGTACGATAGACGTTTAAATATTTTCGAAGGATGCAGTCGAAGCCACGAATTTTTATAGAAAAGAAATAAAAAGCGCATTTCTTACTTGTTTCGTTATGTTAAATTTATTTAAAAAATATTTGTGCTTTGTAAGCGTGTTTTGAATGTTTGTAAGAATACTGTGCTCTAAAGAAATGTAATGTTTGTAAAGAATAAAATTATCAGAGTAATATTAAGACTAAAGCTATGTAAATAAATTTCTTTTAATTATTTGCAGATATGTCCAGGTGTAAAGTTTTTATGACTATCCTAATTATGTTTGGTAAGGAAACCATTTTTTATCTCATCATAACTCAAGAGTTAATCCAGTGACACTGGTACCTGCCTCAAGAGAAATTTCCCTAAACAAGGTCAACTCGAGAGCACAATGGTATTTCCTTGGCAACTATTTTGTTTGCTCTAGTATTGAAGAATTGACAATTAAGGTTTTTTTTCATTCTATCGTCCTTACTCGCGGAGTTCCTTGTGGTCTCCTTTACTCGCGGAACTCTAGCAGAAGAGCCAACATGAGCAAGATACAAGGATTTTTACCTTTGGGATTTTCTATTTTCGAATGCCTAGATATACATAATGCACTTTCTTTACCTCCCAGTTTCTTAAAAAAGGTCTTGGAACGATTATGAAACCTAAAAGAAACTGGAAACAGTACTAATGCAAAATTTTGGCGTGCAGCAAAATGGTCATGTACTGTGGGCAATTGAAAAATAGAGAATGATCACAAGGAAAATGAAGGCACGGAGGCATCAAAGTCTGGCCTACAACGTAAATTGTTTGTTCTACCCAGAGGTAGCCAGTCGCGGCCTGAAGACTGATGTAAATTCTTAAGGGACGATTGTTACTCCAAAGAGAAAATTGAAAGCAATGTTTATACAAAATTTTGTGGGGAAAACAAAATTTACATTATGGGGAACTTGAAAGCAGCAAATAGATTCTCCTCTTCAGTTTGCGCATGCTCTTATGCTGGTAAAATACCGCTGGATTACATGTACAAGGTTTTTTGTGTTTGGGTCGTGGATTAAACCAGGCCCTCATCTTCAGGCTTGGAAAACTTTTACCTGGCAAGGGGACCATTACCAGGTCCAGGCGGTTGCGTCTCATTAAACAATAAAAAGTAGCTTTAAGGACCCAGGTAATCAAATGAGTCAACCAAAGTTAAAACTTGACGAAAATAAAGTATTCGGCTCAAACTTTGTGCTGTTAAGTAACATTCGCTTTTGATTCTGAAAAGGAACACTTCACAGGGGCGGACGGAGGATTTTGTGATAGAGGGGGCCTAGAGATATAGTACACATTGGCAATATGGGCGCAATAGCGCTCATCAGGACTGCGAACGGGCACTTTTGTAAGGAGTTTCGGGCGCATGCTCCTCCGGGAAAATTTTTGAGATTGAAGTTCTCTGAGATGCAATCTAGTGCATTCTGGAGGTTGAATTTAGCAAATGCCTGGATTCCATATTGAACATCCGACACACGTTTGCAAAAAGAAATGCAGGAACCGACCCAATGTGTCCGTCTTTTAGAGGTGTCTGTCGGAGAGAGTAGACTGGTACCACATAATTTTACCTCGTACTCTAAGCGGACTTGCTCTGAATAGCATTTTTTTAAAAACTGCCTGTATCTTGATTTACGATCACAAAGCCCACCGACATTTTTAAAAATTCTACTTTCTACCTGAAAAATATCCGGGGCAAATTTTTTTTTCACTTTCACAGGCTACTTCATTTTCCTTTCCTGACTTCTTTTGACCATTTTAAAATTCTAATTAAATTAATTTTGTGTTAGTGTTACAAGCAAATTCTGAATGTATAAAAGGGAATAAAATCGTACTGGGCAGAGTATGTCCTCTGCAACAAGGGTTTTAAATTGCCTAAAGAGAAGACTTGTTCAGTTAGTTTACTAAGGTTTCGCCTTTCTGAATACATTAACTATGGTGAAAGCGGCGAACTTGTTTTAACACCTGTTAAGTAGACCATAAATGTGGCAAAAACCAAACGGAATTTTCATAATTCACTCCGCAAAAGATATCAGACCGTGTTTTCGTTTAAAGACCTATATAAACTAACTTATTCCGTATGTCAGACTTGACCACTTTAATTGCCTTTTTCTGCTTTATCTGTAGTGATTTGCAAAGCCAAACATTAAAATAAAAGGATTTTCATAAACTCGAACCAGAATATAACTTTTTCTCCTAGTAGTTACTGATTACTGAGTGTTGCTGGACAAATTGCATTGAGTGAATATCATCGGTTAATTTGAATTTTAAGGTCGCCAATTTTTTCCTCTTTCAAGCCGGGACAGACAACACAAAATGGATTGATGTCTCCTTTATAATTTAATACGGCCGTCAATCATCCAACACGTACGAGCTAATATTTTAAATATTACTGTTTGCATATTGAAGATTTCTGATGAACGTAAGTATCGACTAATCGTGACCGCTGAATCCTCCATGAAGTGGAAACTAATCCACAGAGGAAAACATTACGAAATTGAAATCAACTGCTACGCACAAAGGGATGAGTGCCACTCAACTTGATTAATATGTGGTATATACTCGAACTCCACGTGGGGCCAGTATTTCATAATAGTTTTAATGAAACTAGCTGTAGTTTCAACCTCATTTGCCTTCTACACTCGAATGTCTCTAATATCACCTTAATATATTCAGCTGTAGATTTTTGATGGCGAAGGTGTCGTTTTCTCTGTTTTGGAGTTTATTCGCCGTTCTTAGCTTTTCACTGGAGATTTACATAATAACATAATCCCTCTCTGCACTGTCTTCTTATCTAAATATTGCTTTAGCATTTCCAAGTTTAGAAAAACAATATAGGAGTAAATTAAGCAAGCTGTTTTTTCACTTCACCTCAATTTTTCATTTCAGCTCGCGAATGAGTACAAATTATGAGAAAATTCCCAGTTACCGAGGAAGTTACTACCATGAATAGAATTATATTTTTGCGTCTTGAAAGTTTAATTTTAAAAGAAAGCAAAATGACGTCGTTGCGATCAAGGGCCATTAAAATATCCCTTTGTTTCACTTCCTCTAAAGCTGTATTGTTCAACTGTTGTTTTTGTCAATTCATTTTCGTCTCAATTTCATATTTCTTTCTGAGACGAAACTTGGTTTCTTGTTTTGCTTTGTTTTTTTTTAAGGGAACACTTTATATCACTGGCTTTGGAGACATGTAAAAATGCAATAACCATTGAAAAAATTTATCAGGTGACTTTAATTTGGTGATATGCTTTGAGCGGGTGCTTCTAGAATAACTCCGTGGCAACGCCGAATATAAAGACAACTTAAAGTGAACATTACTCAGTTGATTGCTGTGTAGGTTTTAAGTTGTCTCACAGCATCTCCACCGCCCGCCCGGTGATTATTTATATATTTCCAGCTGATGAGATAATAACAACTTGAATCAATCGCCCAATTATCTGCATTGTCTTAATCCGGGAATCTTTCTCACTCGCGACCGCAGGCCGCTTGAATAGGGGTCGTATAAAGAGATTAGTTGCGTTGTTACTGAGTATACAGAAGGGCTGACAAGACGGCTTGCGGGTTTGTCTAATTTCTAATGGCCGTTCTTCAGGTAAAGGAACTGAAACTCCTCTTGTTTTTTAACAATCCATTTTCCAAATAATCGCCGTCTATTTGCTCCCTATTTTGGTCTTGTTTACTTCTGGTTTTACAACAGGAATTATCACACAGAAAGGATATTTTATTGGTAAAGGGTCTACACAAATGGCGGTAATTTGTAGCCGTGCAGCATTCTTAACCTTTGCTTACGTCAACAAATGAATCTGAAAGTAGAATTGACGCAAGTGATCGAAGGCTGTGACGTGCTTCCAAGAGGGAAAGAAACACAATGGCTTATTTCCTTCCTGTAGCAATATCCCTCGTGAAAGCATAATTATTTCATAGCAATCACTTTGCTCAATTCTTTTCAAATATGATTTTAGAAACACCAGCCATTTGTATCGGGACAAAATACTGTAAATATTTTACTTATGACCGACGTGGTATAAATTTAGTGTCAGATTATTGCCTTTTATAATACACCGCTAATCATGTTCAGTTCCTCGAGGAATTCGATGCCATTAATAACTCGCAAGAATAACGCTGGCTTTAAAATAACTTCGGGGAAAAGTTGCAAGTTATATTGGACAAAATGGCTGGCGTTATTGAAGTTTGGCCTCTGTATCAATTACGTCGAATGGAATTGCCAAACACCAGAGAAATGATTTTAATTCTGTTTTGATTGAAGACTAACGTTTAAGAAAACAACGTATTTTACAGACGTACGGACATCAGACTGCCTGCTTTTCAACGATAAAAACACCTGTTTATTTTATAAATTTAAAAAAATTTACCCAGGAAAATCTCCCAGCCAACCGACGGGCAAGTCTTAAATGTTGTTGAATGTGCGACGATATAATTATTAAAATGATTTGTACGAATTTTCTGTTAGTCAAACAGGGAACGAAAACTCAAGCTTCAAGAACTCAACCCGTTTATCACATGCAAACTTTGCAGTGGCTATTTGATCAGGCCAACTACGATCACAGAATGTCTTCACACATGTAGGTACCAGTCAAATACACAACCCTTTGTTACACTCGCCGTAATTTGTCGGCGATAAAAACGGAATATTTTTAATTATTGCCCACCGCGTCTTGTAGTAAAATTATCGCCAAAATCCGGTATCGTGTTTTGGTAATACAAACATCGTTCACCCCTTAACTAACCTAAAACCCAGTAATATATTTCCATTTGTTGTAACTCCTCTGGTCATTGTGCTAAAAACATCTGCGCTCATTTGTTATGCAGACCATCAAACACTATTCATTTCTTTATTAGTTTAACTCGTGGAGTCGCGAGACTTTTTTCATATTCCGCTAAAATTAAATCTACAAACGTTCTGTTGATCTACGACCAACGAATTTTCGTTTTTGAATTCGCTTTTAAGTGGTATTAGCAAACTTGAGCGCACTGGTGATTTTCGAGCGCTTCTCCCTTGTCGCGTCATAATTATTCATAAGATGACACTCTTTTGACACTTTGAGATAATTTTATTAGATACAACAGTGGGTAGTGATAAGCCTGAAATATGATAACAATCTTGAAACTTATAACAAGATCAGTCACTAAAAACGTCCACTACCCGAAGCTGCTAAAAGTGCGGTCTTGTACAATGACAATCATAGGAAAATTTAAATGGCTTTCAGCCCGACCTCCAACGGCGAATGCTTTGCAAACGCACAGATGCCCTGGGACTTGGCAATTGTTCGCATTTCATTATGTATTCTGTGTAGTAGGAGATAATGAAGTACTCTAAGGGAATATACATTACAATATTAACAGATCGCCCACGGGTATCCAGCATGATAAGACGTTAAGATGAGAATATGAATTGGGAATCAGATCCCTGAGAAAGAGAATCGCATTTGGCGTGAATAAGTTCAAAAGATTTGCGAAAAAGTAATCCAGTTTGCCTTTTACCTGGGGAATAGCGTGAGATTTTTGAAGCTGTCGTACATGGTTTACGCACGAGGAGAAGAAAAGTTGTTGCGCCGAAGGCGGGTTAAAGTAAGGGGGTCTGGGGGCATGTTCCCCCAGAAAATTCTTAAGTTTAGGGTCTCGGAAATGCCATTTCCAGCGTTTTCAGTAAATTAATACGAGGGGAAATGCAGTAGTTAGTTCTTAAGTTTACCCATCTCTAGTGTTGTCGGTAAGATACAGTGTTTACGGAAGAAAAAAGGCCAGTGACGCTATCAGAATTATGGAATAATTAAAAGATAGAGGAAATAATAACACAAACACACCTATAGTGCGAAAAATGTATCAGTCATCCCGATTCAATGGTAAAAAAAATTATTTGTCAGGAAATAATTTTATATAGCTGGGCATGGACGCACGGGAGGCGTATGTGCGTTTGTGCTTATATATTGACGCTACGCTCCTGCTTCCGTTTTACAATAAAAGAACTGTGGGGAATTGTAAACATGCTCAGCAACAACAAAGGGTCTACTTAACTTCTGGTTTCAAGTGTGTATGCTTTGAGGTAAAAAAGATATCTTCTTTTGCCCAGGAGTGGACAGCATGATTTTAAGTTTCTGAGGAGTTGCCTTTAAAATTCGATTATGGTATAGTTAGTTCATTTGAGCGATTTGAGGATTCTCTTTATTGGCGTTCCCGAACACATTTCGGACCCGAAAAGGCCGGGACTTCAAGAAGCTCCAGTCTTTTTCGGGTCTTTCGCCTGAGCCGTATTACGGATACAAAGCTGCAAGGTCTAGCTTGTTTTTCGGCTTCCACCGCTTAATTGCATTTTACTGAAACCTGATTCTCAGCAATAAAACTGACAAAAGTGCTAATTAAAGTTAAAAACGTCGCAATCGTGATCTACTCCAACGCATGTTTGTACGTTAACATCAGATTATTGGCTAAAAAAACTTGGTCGATCGGGCATTTTCCGCTAAAGAGTCGTGTGAGTTGTTATGTAACTTTTCTATGTCTTCATTTCTTGTGATCGACGTTCAGCTCTCACGTAGAAATCTTTGAATTCTACGTTTTAACGTTTACCCGATTGTGTCCAGAAACGGATCTTTTTGAAAATGTGAAATTTCGTGTTTTTTTCCATTTCGTTCTTCGTTTTCGAACCTTGGCAATAAGCCCAGCGCCCTGCTGCTTAAAAAATCAAAAGATATTCTTCAATACCTTTCTTGTACTTGAATGAACTCAAGTGTGAGCACGAAAGGTTTAGTACCAGCGCATGTCATCTAAAGCCCCAGTTACAGGGGAACAGTATCAGCTTACAAGGGACGACTCAGACCTTTTACATAAACAATGGATCAAAGTAAGGAACCGATTAAATGAGAACGAAGCGGAACGGTTAACAACTTCTGTTCGGAATTCACATTTTAATTCTTGAAAAAGGTATGAAAAATTGCCGCGGATGGTCGGACCATTTTATAGAGCTACAGTCTAACCTCTTCTTACAGACATCTCTGTATTATGGACAGTTTGTTTGGTCCCAGAAATGCCAAAAATCATACATTCCCTCCCTCTATAATACGGACACCTCTGTAAAGCGGACACTTGGTTCTATCCCTTTGGTGTCCGTACTAAAGAGGTTTGACTGTACTTTCCAAATGGCCTCCGATCTGATTCATGTCGTTGGGAAAGATTTCGATTCCAAATTTCCGAGTGAAACGAAAACTCATTCAGTCAAACTCCACGCAAATTCACGCAGACCCAAAGACGAATTTTAGTAAAAAAATCCATCTGCGCACTGGATTACAATCAACAGGTTATGGCCCGAGATTCTTTTGGATTTCGTGCTTAAATCCCATTTACCCGATTGACGGCACCCTGAGTCTTTTCCCGCATAGGTCGACTAACGGTCAGTTTACAACGGCCACCTGACCCTTTCTCAATGCCATTGCAGAGAGGGTCTCCTGTGTCAGGTTACGCCAGAGAACGTCAAAGCGGAAGATTTAGATCGCAAATATTCGCGTTAAACTTTTCAGATAGATCATAATTTTTTATCATTTTTTACCCCTCTGCCACAGCTTTCATATCAAATAGAAATACAACACTTATATGCAATTCCGCGCTGTAGTATTAGGAGAAGTTAATGAAGACGTCGACCGCCCACCCAGAGGGGTACTCAACAAATGTTTATACGGGGAGGTTCCGCCCCGAGGTCCATACCTAATTACATACCTTTTTCACGAGAAAAGTACCCCTTTCGTACACCTTCTATGGACAAATGGAACCCCTTTACATAACTTGTTTAGAACTTTGCATCCCTTTTAACTCCTGAAAATGCACAGTCTTTTAAATAGGAATCAATCACAAAAATAGAACGTTTTCTCGACTTTATAAAGCCATGAAATTCATCTGTTAGCCCTTTGGGCCTTTTTACAGACCTAAATGACAGATTTCCCTACGCTTCTATATACTTCAACTAGTGAATTCTCTACCCTTTTATATACCTGAAGCCTGAAAAAGATACGCCTTTCCGGAGGAGCCTCCGCGTATAGGTCGTCATAGGGAGCACCCCTTCCGAGACTGGATCTTGGGTGACGCGTTCTCTAGTGTAAAGTCAACTCAACCCTGACTCTACTTACTTATGTCGGTGCTACTTGCGCGGCACGCTAATAGCATTATGGTCGTTTCCGCTTAGTTTGCAGGTCCTGTATTGTGAAACACTTGCAAGACAGTGACGACAACCAATGTCCAATTTGTGCAATTCTTATTCACGAGACTAACCCGTTTGACATGCTCAGGTATTTATCATCAAAAATCTTCTACTCTTTGTGTTAGGGCTAGGGTCAGGGTTTAGGGTCAGAGGGTTAGGGTTAGGGTTGGGGCTAGGATTTAGGGTTAGGGTTAGGGTTTAGGGTTAAGGGTTAGGGTAAGGGTTAGGGTTAGGGGTTAGGGGCTAGGGTTAGGGTTTAGGGTTAGAGGGTTAGGGTTAGGGTTAGGGTTAGGGTTAGGTTTAGGGGTTGTCTCGGGCAGACAAATAATGACAGTAAGAGAAACCAAAGACAAATCAAAAATGAAATTATAAAAAAAAAATTCCAGGAAGGTAACGATACCCTATTAATTTTACACCTCACATAATGTTGGCTAGCATTTTGGCTAAAGTCAGATCATTCCAGAATCGTATTTTGTTGGGTCTATGGTAAGGAAGAGCTGAAATCGTTGGGCACCCAACGAGAATATAGTTCAAAACCACTTAAACATAGCATTGTTAAACGTATTTTAGTATTTAAACGGTAGATTTAGGCATGTTTTTATTCGCTAAAAATTTTTCATCTGTTCGGATTTCCTAGCTGAAAGTCTAGTGATCCGAAAACTAAAGGGATCAAAACTTACCTTTTCGAAAATTTCAGCCAGAAAAAAGGCTCCCAAAAATTCTAGGTGAACTTTTTAGGGTAAAAATCTGTTAAAAATCAGCATTTATACCATTTTTTAGATGTTCGAAAATCCTAGGAGAGGCAGGCAAGCAAGAAATTTTGCAAAAAATGTTCTGAAAATTCTAGATCTCAAATCGTCTTCCGAACAGATATTTTCCGAAAAACTGACGTTGGGTGCCCCTGTTCTCTCCGTTACAGAAATCGCGCCGAAATCACTGTTGTTATGTTTGAACAGAAGCCCTATCGAGTATGGTTTTCGTGCATGCGCAAACGCTATGCGATATAGTGTGAACTAAAAGAGAATAATCTCTTGGTGTGAACATAGCCTAATTTTTCATTTTTGATTTGTCTTTGGATTTGGTAATCTATGGCAACTAAAGTTTGAATCAGTGGAACATGGCCCACTTAGCAGGTGCGGGGTTTTTAAGGGAAGAGAAAAATTTCGATGAACAAACTGGCGCCTGCCACGCAGGCTAAAAGAGACATTTCATATTAAAAATACGCGTTTTGCAAATTACGCAAAACTAAATTCAAATATATCTTACTCTACTTCAAGTTATCTAGCTCGGTTCTGGCGTCATAGCGCAACGTGCTTGAAGGACAGCAACTTTCATAATAATATTGATTGTACTCATAGTAGTTTTCTTAAGTTAATCGTTTGTATTTTTTAACAGGTCGGACCAAACCTTGGAGGATGTAATTTACAAACTTGTTCCCAACCTGCAAGAAAGTAATGATAGAATTTTTAACCTTGCATTGTCGAGCTAGTTAACACTAATGGAAGCGTCATGAATAGTCGTCTTTGAGTTCTATTAAATCCAGAAACGAATTGGAGTGTAAAAATCTTTAAGAGAGTCTGTTACGATACGGATAGGATGCGATGTCAAAACGAGCGGAAGTTATTTTTCTCCTTTCGATCACGACATTGCTTCTGATAAACATACTTTGTGAAAACTCAAATTCACGCAAGTGGAAAAAAATGCTAATCGGGAAAACAGCTCGACTCATTGACGGATGCTCTTCTCGAAATTCCGTTTAGATTAAATGGGTTTTATCCCTTATGCTAATCAGCTTCTTAATCTGCTAACTTTTGAATGAACTTTTCTGAGTTTCTTACAATAGAATCATTTCTTGCCGGATAAATCCATAGATCCATTCAGCCGCGATTAAGCTCTGAGTTTCATAAAAAAGCGCCTCCCTTTGAAAAGGATGGTTTTTGTAAGGTGCTGTTGATTTTTAATGGCTTACGGTCAAGCACTGCAAAGTTTGGCAACGACAAAGAACATTTTTTTTTTGACCCCATACTTACGTCCAGGATTGCCAGTATCTAGGCGAGTGTGTAAACCAGTACAATGCGTTTGCCACTTCGATCCCACGGGGCGGGGAACGCTCATCGGTCGGAAACTAAGGATTAAATCTCTAATACGAGACCAATCTCAGAGTGGCTAAGGCTTTATTTGACCCTTAAGAGAGACCATACTCCAACAAAGTATGATGGTGTTTGCTGCTTTTTTTTTCCGGTGGATATTTTTTTACGCACACTCAGTCATCCTAATATTTACCTTCAAGTAACGCGCATCCCCTTTCCTTTTCATCTGGGGGTGCTCCTCGTTCGGTTAACACTAGAAGGGCCGTAATAGAATAGAGACTCTTGTTCTTGGGCCATCGTAGTTTGATCAAAAATAAAACCCAAATAGCGGTGATAAACATTGTGAGTCTCGACATTTTTATAAACTTGACGTTTTGTATGCTATTCAACATACTTTTTACATTTTCTCCTCGGTCAAGGCACGCTATTAATAGTAAACCCTTTAAGACGATAGATTTTTAGTGAAAAGTTTTGACTCACGTACCCTTCTCCAAAAAGGAAGCTAAAGGATGGATATTTGAATAAGGTGTTTCTTTATTTATTTGTTCCAGATGAGCAGAAGCGGGAGATACACTTCCATGAAGAACACAAATCAGATGAAGAAAAGGAAACAAACGAGGAAAATAAAGAAAACAACGCGGCAAGTATGTTGAGCGAGCCTCTGTTCATTTGGATAAATTTTTGTGATGATAGATTTTGTATTCTGTAAAAATTTTCAATAAATGATGAGCAAAATTGTAAAATGTATAAATTTTTTGTCCAACAATGAGAAAGACAGAACTTTGAAGACGCTATTCTCACTATGTAATCTCATCTCTAGTTCCAGATTCAACCACGGACGAGCCCGCGGGCAAAAGAGTGAAACTGTCAGCCGATGATTACGACAGCAAAGAAAACTTTCACCGCGATGACCCACAAATTGGCGTGTGCCTGGAATGTTTGAAGTGAGTTAATTCTTATTATTATTGAATGATTACAACAAGACACCGACAAGTAAATCAAGACAGAAACCTGTCTTCTAATTTTCGTCAGTTATTATAACGGTCGATGCATTCGACGAGGGAGAACGCGTTTTTATCTTGCAGGCAGAAGAAATTGACATCAGAGACATTTTTGGGGACTGTCATTTATTATTCGGGCTCTTCCCTATCCTCTTCACAGGGGAATTTTCGGCCAGTAAACGGTTAACTACTTTGATACGGTGGGAAAACTGGTTATTCTGCAACTGCCTCCGTCGAACACACGTCCTCAACGCGCTTAGGTTATGTCTACACTATACCGGATACTTTTACGCCGGCACGAAAAGCAGACCGGATATGGTTTCTGTTCACACGTATGAAGAGAGATTTTGGCGTGATTTTTGTGACAGGAGCGAGGCCGCGCCGCGCCGATCTCTAAAGTGGAGACTCACATATCGCATAAGGGTTCACACTGCATCTGATAGCTTTTCCTGTGGGCCTATCCGGCCGTATAGTGTGAATTTAGCTTTTATTATAGCATCCCGTGCCTCGGTAGCTCTTTTATATGCAATCATTCAAATACGGAGGGGACAATACTATATAAATAAACTCTTCATATGTAGACGCGAGAGTCCGCCTGCTTAATTTAATGATCCTCAAAGAGATCGATCTGCCAGCTTATTCCCTGCTGATTTGCCAGAAACAGCTTCACACTGAAGCCATTAACAAAAATAATATATAGATCTAGCCAGAGCTAAAAGGGAAGCTCCCTTTTATGCATTTACAGTTTATTTTAGACAATTAACTTGGAACCGTTGCAATGAAATCCACAGATATATATATTTAACTTTAGGGGAGGCCATATGACTTTTGAAGACTAGCTGAAAAACATAAACTTGACCTTGCGATCAATAACAAGGTAATATTAAATGGTTGACAGAAAACCTACAAAAAACACGTCGCCTCGATAAATTGGCACCTGAGCCCGCGTTACGGTCATGTGATTCTGGTCAGCAGATACCCTGTTTTGACAGCTGTCAATTGACCATAATATGGATGTTTATTATCAAGTTAAACACAGGTTACAGACTCCCATACCAGATAGAAAATGTGACACTTCGCACTTGTGGTGCTGACTGACGGACGGACGCACGGGGGGACGGTCACCTGGCTACCAAAATTTCTCGGATGCATAGATAGCCAAATTTTCGTATCCATGGTGCTCCGCTGCGCGCCGAGAGCTTCGTTTTAAGATAGCGGTGAGCAGACGTGGTTTATAAAGGAAGTGAACCACGTGTATCAATTTCACCTCGTTCTGTTTCAGTGACAACTCACTCCAAGATCCACCTGTGAGAGAACTGGTTCGGAAATACATTCGCTGTTCGTCGCGGCTGACAATAGCGCAGGTCAAGAAATTTTTGAAAGTCAAGCTTGATCTTAAAACAGCGGACCAGGTAAATAAATAAACAAAGTTAACTTCGCAATTCATTTCAATTAAAACTTATTACTGTAAGTGACAGAGAAGTTTCCGCTGTTCCGACGTTTAGTATTGTAAAGAGATTTTCTTCAAAACCAATAAATGTTTGAAAGTTACGCAGAGCTTTCGGAAACCGCCATCCAGACCCCTTCATCTGTGACGTTTGCTGTTATTCGCAGCCTCGTTTTGATTAGGTTGCTTAACTTTCAAGAACTTGTTGTTGTTGAAGAATGTTTCTTATCATTACTGTTATGTAGTTGAGATTTGAAAGTAATTCTCTAATTGTGTTGGCTTTGTCTCTCTATGATAGGACAGAAGCAAATCATAACATTGGCAGCTGATTCAAAAAATAAAATAAAATAAACAAAATAAAATAAAATAAAGTTCCAGCATTGCAACTGTCGCTTGCGCGAATAGCAAGTGTAATGTTTGGGTGGTGAATTGTACTCCGCTGGGACTCTATAACCATTATACTATACCTCACTCACGTACAGTTACAATTTTGGACACCATTTTGGTACTGAAACCCAAATCTATATCCCCCGAGACTATTCTTCGCTTTGTATGTCATCTAACCCTCAAGGGAATATGACGTTATATTCTCACACCTCTGCATATTCCTTCTGTAAGTAATTGACCCCTAATTCTCAGCCAAAACTCACCGCTCTCTTTACTACCTCAGACTACACTATCAAAACCTGCCACGTCTTTTTCAGGAGCAAATGAATTATGAATGAGACCCTCGCCCTAATTGAGTGTGTTAATGAGGGATTAAATTTGAAGTTGATTGTAATTGACTGGAAAGGTTACCTTTTATTATTTCCTAACTTTTTAAAAGAGAATATTTGTCGCGTTTAGGTACTTTTTGATACAGCCCTATTCTCTCTTTTAAGGTTGAGGTGATGTGCAACGGTGAAATTATGGGTAAAGATCACACGCTGGAGTTCGTATACATGACAAGATGGCGGATAAAGGTAGATAAAGATGAGGTTCTTAATATGAAGAGTTTCGGCTTGTAATCTTTCTGGTAAAAAAAGGCTATCAATGATAGTGTCTTTTGAACATAATGTATCTCACAGGGTAGTACAGTCTAACCTGCATGCGGATCAGTCGGGGGAAGTTTGCCCTTGGATATTGGAGCTCACTGGAAGGGTTAATGTACCTTTACTCTCAAGTTGACTCAATGGCATCTATTGATTCCAGCCATGTGCAGGAATGGGGCACCATAAAGTCCATAAAGCTCAGCTTACTTTTATTTACGTATACTGATGCGAATCTTGATCTAAACAAGTATTTGTCATCAGATATTCCATTTTTAATTAATTATTTAAAAATAATTTCCATTTGCTATTAACCATTTTTTTCCTTTTCAGGAAGGATCCGTACTTACACTTCAGTACAGACCACGAATGGATTTTTTCTGAGGCTTATCTCATGAGGTCTGCTCATCGTAGGTGCCATACAGTAGGCCAAACCGAAATGGTCCGAGGATTGTCAGTGCCACTCCCACGTCATATCCAGCCAAACAGGAAGACCTTTTGCAGATATCAAATAAATTCATGGTGTAAATTAATTTTATGATACGATATGTAGTATATTTATTAAGAAAGACACACAGAGAGATAATTTTACATTAAAAGTCAGGGTTAGCTATAAAAAGGACAGATATTTAATTGTAAAAAGTAAGCTTGGAGTATTTTGCCCACTTGTTTTTCGTGAGTTACACATTGAAATCTAAACTAAACCATTTAATATAATACTGACATAAAAACATTTAACCGAAAAGATGGAAAAAAAGTGGAGAAAAACCTTATGTTTAAGGAAAAGTTAACAAGAGTGAACAGCTACTACAATGTTTGGAATAAAAATTCAGTTCTAATTGTTCGCGTATGACTGAAGTTAATCAAGAGTGAGTTAATACAAGTCCATTTTTGAATTAATTTTCCTTTTAACTTTTTGCGGCCAAGCGACATTTTAAAATCCAAAAATACCGTAAAATTCAGAAAATGAGCCCTTCCATGTAGAAGCCCCTCCAAATATAAGCCCCCCAATGCGGTAACGCAAAAAACCCTCCGTTAAATCGCCCCTCCAAATATAAGCCCCCCGGGGGCTTGTACTTGGAAAATTGCCCTCAAATACAAAGTAAAACAAAGCAAAAACCGCAAATTTACTTCCAACTATAACGCTAGCCCAATCGATTTTGAAACGCAAATTTCCTCCCGTAGATAAGCCCCTCCGAATATAAGCCCCTCCAAAAATAAACCCCTCAAAAAAGGCCTTTGAAAAATATAAGCCCGGGGGCTTATTTTCGGAATTTTACGGTATCCGTTTTCGTTTACGCGATAAACGCTCTTTTTGTATGTAGCAACATCGATTTTTTACAAAGATGTCCTTGACTTAGGTGCTGCAATATTTTAATAAAAGATCATGCATATAAAACTGAACTATTCTTCACATCATATTGCTATAGGTCTTTGTATTTACACTGACAATTTAAAGGATCTGTTTTAGCTCTGTTGGCTCGGAATTTGGGGCCTTTTCGGCTATGATGGAAGTACAACACGTCATCGTTAATTACAGCCCGCAAAATTTTCTAGGGCTAAAAGGAGGCTCAAAATAGACTAAAATTGTTGGTTGAGAGGGCTGTTTTGGTTGAAATTGTGGAGAAATGGCTGTAAGGACAATAAATCCGACTCTTGTTTTTAAGGGCTAACCAGATTCCAGTGTTCCCCTTGAGTTGGACTTGGAACCTACGAGTGAAGTGTAGACTGTTCTCAGTCCCCTATTTTCCTGTGAGATTGTCGAGATCGAGCGCTCACCGTTGGGCAGCCATTTTGTAATTGGTTTCAAATGTATCGAGGGGCCGTGGGGGCGGGCATCGGGGTTTAAGGCGGTGAGAAAAGGGAGGCGAGAAAAAACGTCCCCTAATTAAACGTCCCCTAAGTAGATGAGATGGTCATCTTCAAGCTAGNAAGGCCTTTGAAAAATATAAGCCCGGGGGCTTATTTTCGGAATTTTACGGTATCCGTTTTCGTTTACGCGATAAACGCTCTTTTTGTATGTAGCAACATCGATTTTTTACAAAGATGTCCTTGACTTAGGTGCTGCAATATTTTAATAAAAGATCATGCATATAAAACTGAACTATTCTTCACATCATATTGCTATAGGTCTTTGTATTTACACTGACAATTTAAAGGATCTGTTTTAGCTCTGTTGGCTCGGAATTTGGGGCCTTTTCGGCTATGATGGAAGTACAACACGTCATCGTTAATTACAGCCCGCAAAATTTTCTAGGGCTAAAAGGAGGCTCAAAATAGACTAAAATTGTTGGTTGAGAGGGCTGTTTTGGTTGAAATTGTGGAGAAATGGCTGTAAGGACAATAAATCCGACTCTTGTTTTTAAGGGCTAACCAGATTCCAGTGTTCCCCTTGAGTTGGACTTGGAACCTACGAGTGAAGTGTAGACTGTTCTCAGTCCCCTATTTTCCTGTGAGATTGTCGAGATCGAGCGCTCACCGTTGGGCAGCCATTTTGTAATTGGTTTCAAATGTATCGAGGGGCCGTGGGGGCGGGCATCGGGGTTTAAGGCGGTGAGAAAAGGGAGGCGAGAAAAAACGTCCCCTAATTAAACGTCCCCTAAGTAGATGAGATGGTCATCTTCAAGCTAGACTCGGTCAACATGGCCGCCTGTAGCGCCCATTCTCGAAAATCTTGCCGAAATAGAGGAACGTAAACAGTCTAAGGGAAGTCCTGTATGGGAACTTTTCACACGTACTACTCAACAAGAGGAATGAAATGGTCTTTTGACTTAACTATAGCCTGAGTTTAGTCTTAACATGTTACGATGAGTAAAGAATCTCTTTTAAGTGTTCTTAGGGCCCAAAAAGTTGATTGTTTGTTCTTCTGTGCAGGGTTGATTAAAATTCCCCCTCCTTGCTCCAAAAGAACGACTGGAAACGCACCAGATGTTATTAATAACATGTCCGCTAAAAGTCAGTAAACCAGACGTAGTTAGTCGGTAAACTAATAATCGATAATAATAGATAGTAATCGATATCAATTATCGATGAATATCGATTTCCAATTGAAATCAATAATGATTGATTTATTGATTGTTATCGATTACTATCAACTATTATCGGAAAAGGCTTTTTCCGTGCGGTATTATTGAGTCATTCAGTCGTGGGATTATGCAGTTCTTTCTTGAATTGATAAAATACTAACAGAAAAAACCACTGACAGGAACAAATTGCTCTTTGTTTCGATTTTTTAGCTTAAGCAAAGTTCATAACAAGGAAAGAAATTGCTGCGAAAGTGGTAGAAAATAATTAACTCAATGTCGCTGTAGTAACTCCATAAGCATGGAGCCTACCAAGTACTATTTCTTATGCTGCTTATGCCAAAAGATGGCAGCGATCTGGAGGAGTCAATGCCCGTGTATATAACGAAATGAATTGGATTCCAGTGTCCTCGAGATTGCAAGGAAAGAAATGCAAGATGAAGTCGATGGCGCAGGATTGGATGGACATGTAAAGATCTATTAAAACAAACCAAGAAACGAAAGAAACAAACAAAAGAAAAATGGAATGAGATGGAGACCAGACCCAGAGCGGTTGATGACGTCATAAATAAAACGTGTTAAGCTTTAGCCGGTCTCATGGGTGTTGCTTGCCAAATAGCGTCGTCATGTTCAGAATATTCACTTCAAGCTTATTGCTTGTTATCGATTACTATAAATGTTATAGATTTTTGATAATCGATAATAATCGGTAGTATTTTTGCTGTGACGTCGATTTCTATCGATTCCCGATATCAATCGATAGCAATCGGCGGATTAAATCGATTGATATCATTGATATCGATTGACTTCCGATATCGATTTCTATAGATTAACTACGTCTGGAGTAAACAACGGTCCAAAAAGAGGTTCTTAAATAGTTTAGTCTGCTATAACCAGTACCGCAAAGTATGAAATACAACTGATAAAATGAAACATTTGAGACAACAGTGTAGGTTGAACTATAAAAAAACCTTTTCACCCTGATACACTCAATGGAGGTCGGGTCTAAAGTTCAAGTCACATTCCACAGGTTGAGTACAGATCACTGCTCCATCGATGAATGATCAAACCTCGAAGATTCCCCTCGATCTATTAGAGCATTTTGTTAAGGGATCAGGGCTAGGAGACACTTTTAATGCTATTGATTTATCTGTATCATGGTGACCTGTACTCTGGTTGACCTGTGGAAACGGTGAGCTGTATTTTAGACCCGCCGTTTGTTTCAAGAACCAATGCGCTTCTGGTTGGTACATTAATATCAATAGGTGAAGTCATCTTGAGTATAGCTATATAACAATTATTCACCGAAGTGGAGGTGGCTAGTCCTGGATTTTTACCGAACTGCGAAGCAGTGAGGTAAATATCCACGACTAGCCACCGACACTGAGGTGAATAATTGTTTTAGTATATACTAAAACAGTGAGATAATTGAGCACAAAAATGACGATTTTTAACTCAAATACTGTTGCCAACGATTACAATTTTGGCGCGTAATGACCGGGCGGCCGCGGCCGTCGCTTTTTCTTGCCGACAATTAAAACTTTTGAAGGCATTTGTTTAGCTCTTGCGGGAAAATTTCTTCAAAAGGAGTTGTGAATTCTTTTTGTATTTAAAATCATTCTATAAAAAAAGATTATTAAATTTAGTTTTAAGCTTATTTATGAACAACTCAACTAAATAAATTAACGCAAGACTTAAACTTAATTTGCATTTGTAAACAAAAAACTTTTTCACCGGTTTTATCGATAAATTCGTGTCAAAAAGTCAAAACTTTACCTGTTAAAACTTCCAATCCGAACTTCGTCACCTTCTTCGTGTATTTCGGAAACAGCTTGCTTGATTAGTTGTGAAATTTCTTTGTTTGCTTACGGCAGCAAACCGGGAAGGCATTTTGCTCGCAACTTACGCGAGTTTGGCGTCGCTCGCTCGGAGGAACTGGAGGTGAATCAGTGAATAGTGCAGGATATTCACTGATTGAGTAGCCAATCAGAGCGCGCGAAAAACGCTATCCACTGTTTTAGTATATACTAAATTAACATATAGGTGGATTCATTTGCAACATTCGGATTTTTAGGCTTAAAAACAATAAAAAATTCCCGCAGGCAAATGCGACAGCTATGCGCGTATGTTGCAAATGAATTCACTCTATGTTTCAACCCCAAAGCCCTTTATGCCAAAGTCCATTTTAGCCTACTCTGGGAATCATTGAACCTTCTGGGTTAACAATTTGGGCACGGATTTCTGTTACTTGAGGACTGATACCGGATGCACCACTATCGGGGAACTCAGAACGGCAATGCTAGACAAGGGTGACCGTCGATGGAAAATCCATGTTGTCGAAGCTAGCGCTCGACCAAAACTAAGTACTTTTTGTCTGCTTTTTTTTATATTTTCAAGCAACAACAATTGGTCGTTTCATTTTTGGACTATTTGTCTACATTCACCATTATCCTTGCTAAACTTTAGAAACACGATGCTGAAATAAATCATACAAGGACCACCAAATTGTTTGGCACCTTTAATTCCATATCATGTGGATATTGACTGTCCATTATACAAATAATTGAACACTACATGCGTATTGATGTAGACGGAAAAGCCTCCCAAGCGACTCGCTGCATTCACATGACTATTATTTTGTTTTGCTTAAAACCGGAACTTCTCTTAGGTAGTTCACCATTTAACTTAACAACCGTGCTTTAATTTATGACAGTTGACGGAGGTCACATCAATTCATCCTGATAAACAGGCTCCTCTCGAGGTTGGTCTCTTTGATCTGCAGCTTCAGCGTTTTCATATTCGCTTTCAGCAGCTGTATCCCGTCTGGCATCCCAGCCTGATCCTGAAGCGTCCCCGCTTGACCCTGGAGATTCTTTGCTTGGATCTGCAGTATTCTCACCTCGATCTTCCACTTCCTGGCTTTTATCTTGATTGTCTGATTTGTGTTGAGCAGCACTTTGAGCACTGCCTCCCTGAACAGCGTCTCTGCTGGGCAATGTCCACACCGTTCTTCGAGACCCTTTGTTTCCGTTGTAACAATTGCAGTAAGATCCAGCGACTTGCCAGCCACATCCATGCCATCCCCAGTATTCATTGTAGTTTGCAACTGCAGAGATCTTTCTGCCACACGTGTCTTGTTTGACTGCTTCGTACTTAACGCACGATGGCCCGTAACATGAACACCATACTGACTTGTAATGGCAGTCGTTGGAGCTGTGGCATCCCTCCGCAGCAAGAGTGCACTCAAATTCCGGGGATTCCTTGGTGGATTCTTTGCTGTAGTCGAACTTTTGTATGGATACTCCCCCACTTTCTTCGAAGGAGCAACCATAATTTAAGAAACCGAGATAGTAGTACTGCAAGTTTACAGCCCTGATGTAGTTGTCTGATCCGAATGCAAACCGGTCTTGCACTAGGTTCCATATTGATTTGAAGGTGTGTTGGACGCCTTCGTTCGAATCTTTAGCTTCGTTTAAAAATTGTTCTATCAGTTCTTTCGTCCTACTTGTCCTGAGGGCACTGCGGGTATTTACTGTTCCTCCTCTGATGATAAGCTTATCTTCTGTGTTCATATGTGTTGCCTTGGATATTTCAGTTTTGCTGACATTTGCGCAAGCTTTGACGCCAACCTTCCCAACAGTTGTGGGACCTGCGAATGAGACACAACTTTTCACTTGAAAATCTCTCTCACTGTAGGAATTAGAACTCTTCGCGAAGGTTGTCTGTTTTATACTTGCTCCGCGGTTGACAGACGTTATGACATGGGAGCCGTATTTATCCAAGAATATATCGTAATCCTTCCAGGAATTTCGTAGCCAGGGTTTCTCGAATTTTACTGGCAATAGTTCGAAGTCGGTGATGAAATATTGGGTCAATTTAGCAGTTTCATCCAGACAGTCTTTCTTCACCAAGATCTTTTCTGTCAATGCGCGAATGTTTAAAGAGACTCCACTCACCGTGGATTCTTTTGAATCTACTTCTTCCGCGACACTGCTGAGGGTAAAACCCAGAGAAAAACTTGATTCCAGCGAGGCGTCTAAGCCAGCTCCAACGGCCACTTTAGTGTAGAAAGCTTGGGTGTTTGCGTAGTAGTCAAAGATGCTGCCGGTATAACCTATTGTTTTCTTTATAAAGCAGGTTTCAGGCAAAGGCTGAAAGACGCTGGCCTCAGCTTCTTGGAAGTCGCCGAGTAAGTCGGTCTTCCGAATATTAATTGCCTTTCCTAGCTCGTCTGTGACCATATATTTTACGGTTTTCCCGGAAGTGACTGTCAGGAAAATGAACAACATGAACGAAGTACACTTGACTCCAGGCATTTCCTTTTTGCTTCCAATGATAAGTCAGCCTGTTGAAAAATGGTTTAGTACGCTTATACGTAATTAACAACGGGTGATACCGTACCGTACCCTACCCGTAAAGACGCTAAATTTGAAATAAGTGTCCCTCTCCCTTCAAGTCCAGCCTTTTTTTCTTTACGACTAAACACATAATTATGTTAGTTTTTAAAACATCGATACATTCTTCCAACAAGCAAACATAATTTAAGAAACGTCTTTAAAGCCTACCACACTCAAGAGCGTATCCTCTCAAGGCGTTTCTTAGACTGTGTAGCAGGTGGTTTGGTTGGCGAGAGGGAAAAAACTGAGGTGGGAAAACGCGATTCTCCTTGTGGCTTTTTCGCGCGTTTTTGCAGCTCTTTTCCCACTCTCGCGAAATAAACCGCCCGCTACGCAGACAAGGCGTTTCCCCCTTCAACAAAAAAATACCTCAAACCGCCCACGTGGATTAAGTAACACAAAAGAATTTAAATAAAAAGTGCTGTATCATATTAAAGCATAAAAGGTATGTTTTATTCTTCTAAAGGATCAAGCTGTTCGATATTGGTGTTTTTCAAATTAAGCGGTATCGTATATAAAATTCCTTTATAACCGCTGCATCAACAACAAAAGATTATGCCAAATGAATGTAATTAATACTATCACTGAAACCAAGAGAGAATGATCTCTTGCTGAAACTAATATAGGAAAATTTATTTAAAAGACTTTGCAATTTCTTTTTTTCACAAAAGTTCGTTTTTTAGAAGCTCTGCCACCACAGAAGAACTTTTTTTTGTAAAATAAGAGTTTTTAAAAAATATCAATATATTATTTGCTGACAAGTGAAATATTCTATGCTCTCTTGTCAGAATAAGAAAGTAAAATACTTGCTTCTTACCAGGATTTGTCTCCTGTTTCGTGTGGCTTGTATCAGTTAGGTTTAATGTTTGGTTGTGAAAAGGGTTCTTTTTGAGCCAGATATATATCCTTGATCGATCTGCTTGGAATTTTCAAGTAAGCACCACCTGGGTGACAGTGAAATCGGTGACCCGAAAGAAAGGTTAATGCCAGAAATATGGTCATTTTCCACGTTAGAATGGCTTCATGCAGTGACCCTATATGACAGGGTCAGCTGATTAGAGAAAAATTTAGTTACAATGTCATCTCAAACTTACAAAGTTGTCTCATAAATTGAATAGACGTACTGATGGAAATCTCAAATACGCGAACTTAAATCGTTCCCGTGAAGTAGGCGCTGTTAAGTTGAGGACAGCACATTTAACCTTGTAGTTTCTTTCACGTTAATTGACATTGAAATATATTTTTAATGAAATGAATAAAGTTGTTGGTTTTAAAGAGTTTATTGGCCCAGGTTGCTGTATTCTTAGTTCATGTTTATTAGCTCAAGGTGACAATTGTTTAATTAAAAAGAGCAGTCAGCCGTGATCTCAAGAGACAGTTCAATAAATCCCATGTTAACATGTGATACTGATTCCAATTTCATCTATTGTTTTTGCTCTTTCTGACACCAGTAAATAACCAATTATCTTAGATGTCTCATTTTCTTAATAAACACAATGTCCGAAATGTAAGACGTTAATTTCGGGACCCGGCTTAGTGTCCGCTTAATAGAAGCTAATAGAGGGTGTCCGCTTAATAGACGTTTCACTGTATCATTCAGTTTTTACTGGTTATTTATCTTTTACTTTTGTGTTTTGTGTTTTACTATATTCCCTGGAAAAAGGTTAAAAAAATCTTGAATTGTACTCCCCCGGCTCTTATCCACAGAAATTTTGCCGTTGAAAATCTTCCAGGGAAGCAATTTTCCTTTACTGAGTGTACAGTCTAGCTGTGGAAGGACGGCAGCGATGACGATCGCCTTTAAAAGTCAATTTAGTTTTATCGAGGAAGGACATGTCTTTGATTGACTACTAGTTGGATTTTACTAATACCGGATAGCTTTCCTGTGGGCCTATCCGGCCGTATAGTGTGAATTTAGCCTTAGTTATAGCATACCCTGCCTCGGTAGCTCTTTTATATATGCAATCATCCAAATACGGAGGGGACAATATTATACAGATAAACTCTTCATATGTGGACGCGAGAGTCCGCCTCCTTAATTTAATGATCCTCAAAGAGGTCGGTCTACCAGCTTAGTCCCTGCTGATTTGCCAGAAACAGCTTCACACTGGAACCATTAACAAAAATACTATATAGATCTAGCCAGAGCTTAATTGGAAGCTCCCGTTTATGCATTTACAGTCTATTTTAGACAATTAACTTGGAACCGTTGCAAAGAAATCCACAGATACATATTTAACTTTAGGGGAGGCCATATGACTTTTGAGGACTAGCTGAAAAACAAAAACTGGAGCTTGCGATCAATAAAAAGCTAATAAATGGTCAGCAAAAAACCTACAAAAAACACGTGGCCTCGATAAATTGGCACCCGAGCCCCCGATACGGTCATGTGATTCTGGTAAGCAGATACCCTGTTTAGACAGCTGTCAATTGACCATAATATGGATGTCTATTTTCAAGTTAAAATACAGGTTACAGACTCCCATACCAGATTGAAAATGTGGCATTTCAAACCTGTGGTGCTGTCTGACGGACGGACGCACGCACGGGGGGACGGTCACCTGGCTACCAAAATTTCTTGGATGCATAGATAGCCAAATTTTCGTACGCATGGTGCTCCACTCTGCGCCGAGAGCTTCGTTTTAAGATAGCAGTGAGCAGACGTGGTTTATAAAGGAAGTGAACAACGTGTATCAATTCCACCTCGTTCTGTTTCAGTGANTACAAAAAACACGTGGCCTCGATAAATTGGCACCCGAGCCCCCGATACGGTCATGTGATTCTGGTAAGCAGATACCCTGTTTAGACAGCTGTCAATTGACCATAATATGGATGTCTATTTTCAAGTTAAAATACAGGTTACAGACTCCCATACCAGATTGAAAATGTGGCATTTCAAACCTGTGGTGCTGTCTGACGGACGGACGCACGCACGGGGGGACGGTCACCTGGCTACCAAAATTTCTTGGATGCATAGATAGCCAAATTTTCGTACGCATGGTGCTCCACTCTGCGCCGAGAGCTTCGTTTTAAGATAGCAGTGAGCAGACGTGGTTTATAAAGGAAGTGAACAACGTGTATCAATTCCACCTCGTTCTGTTTCAGTGACAACTCACTCCAAGATCCACCTGTGAGAGAACTGGTTCGGAAATACATTCGCTGTTCGTCGCGGTTGGCAATAGCGCAGGTCAAGAAATTTTTGAAAGTCAAGCTTGATCTTAAAACAGCGGACCAGTTAAATAAATAAACACAGTAAACTCCGAAATTCAGTTCAGTTTAAACTTATTACTGTAAGTGACAGAGAAGTTTGGGCTGTTGGGACATTTAGCATTGCAAAGAGATATTCTTCAAAACCAACAAATTTTTGAAAGTTACGCAGAGCTCTCGGAAACCGCCATCCAGACCCCTTCATCTGTGACGTTTGCTGTTATTCGGAGCCTGGTTTTGGTTAGGTCGCTTGATGTTGAAAAATTTTTTCTTATCATTATTGTTATGTAGTTGAGATTTGAAAGTAATGCTCTAATTGTGTTGGCTTTGTCTCTCTATGATAGGAGAGAAGCAAATCATAACATTGGCAGCTGATTCAAAAAATAAATAAATAAATAAACAAAATAAAATAAAATAAAGTTCCAGCATTGCAACTGTCGCTTGAGCTAATAGCAAGTGTAATGTTTGGGTGGTTGTAGTCCGCTGGAACTCTAAAACCATTATACTATACCTCACTCACGTACAGTTGCAATTTTGGACACCATTTTGGTACTGAAACCCTCTGAAACCCAAATCTATATCCCCGAGACTGTTCTTTGCTTTGTATGTTATCTAACCCTCAAGGGAATATGACGTTATATTCCCACACCTCTGCATATTCTTTCTGTAAATAATTGACCCCTAATTCTCAGCCAAAACTCACCGCTCTCTTTACTACCTCAGACTACACTATCAAAACCTGCCACGTCTTTTTCAGGAGCAAATGAATTATGAATGAGACCCTCGCCCTAATTGAGTGTGTTAATTACATGTCGCGTTTAAATACAGCGCTATTCTCTCTTTTAAGGTTGAGGTGATGTGCAACGGCGAAATTATGGGTAAAGATTACACGCTGGAGTTCGTATACACGACAAGATGGCGCATAAAGGTGAGATAAAGATGAGGTTCTTAATATGAAGAGTTTCGGCTTGTCTTTTGAACATAATGTATCCCACAGGCTAGTTGAGTCTAACCTGAATGCGGATCAGTCCGGGGAACTTTGTATTTGGATATTGAAACTTAAAACGGTTAATGTACGTCTTTGCATCTTTACTCTCAAGTTGACTCAAGGCCGTCTATTGATACCAGTTATGTGGCTGAATGGGGCACCATGGTCTAAAAGCTCAGCTTACTTTTAGGCACTGAATCGAATCTTGATATAAACAAGAATTTGTCATCAGATAGTCATTTTCAATTCATTATTCTTAAAAAATAATTTACATTTGCTCTTGACCATTTTTTCCTTTTCAGGAGGGATCCGTACTTACGCTTCAGTACAGACCACGAATGGATTTTTTCTGAGGCTCAGGGTAGGTGCCAAACAGTAGGCCAAACTTGGTTCCGAAATGGTCGGAGGATTGTCAGTGCCACTCCCACCTCATATCGAGCCAAACAGGGAGACCTTTTGCAGACATCAAAGAAATTCACGGTGTAAATTATTTTTATGATACGATATGTAGTATATTTATTAAGAAAGACACACAGAGAGATAATTGTACATTAAAAGTCATGGTTAGCTATAAAAAGGACAGATATTTAATTGTAAAAAGTAAGCTTGGAGTATTTTGGCCACGTGTTTTTCGTGAGTTACGCATTGAAATCTAAATTAAACCATTTAATATAATACTGACATAAAACATTTAACAGAAGCGACGGAAAAAAAGTGGAGAAAAACCTTATGTTTAAGGAAAAGTAAACAAGAGTGAACAGCTAATACAGTGTTTGGAATAAAAATTCAGTTCTAATTGTTCGCGTATGACTGAAGTTAATCAAGAGTGAGTTAATACAAGTCCATTTTTGAATTAGTTTTCCTTTTAGCTTTTTGCGGCTAAGAGACAAAAATACCAAAAATATTGTAAAATTCCGAAAATAAGCCCCTCCATGTAGAAGCCCCTCCAAATATAAGCCCCAATCTGGTAACGCAAAACCCCTCCGTTAAATTGCCCCTCCAAATATAAGCCCTCCCTCCGTAGATAAGCCCCTCCGAATATTAGCCTCTCCAAAAATAAGCCCCCCAAAAAGGGCCTTTGAAAAATATAAGCCCCGGGGCTTATTTTCGGAATTTTACGGTATCCGTATTCGTTTACGCGATAAACGCTCTTTTTGTATGTAAGAACATCGATTTTTTACAAAGATGTCCTTGAATTAGGTGCTGCAATATTTTAATAAAAGGTGATGCATATAAAACTGAACTATTCTTCACATCAACTTGCTATAGGTCTTTGTGTTCATACTGAAAATTTAAAGGAACTGTTTTAGCTCTGTTGCTCGGAATTTGGGGCCTTTTCGGCTGTGAAGGAAGAGCAACACGCCATCATTGATTACAGCTAGCATAATTTTCTAGGGCTAAAAGGAGGCTCAAAATGGATTTAAACTGTGGGTTGAGAGGGCTGTTTTGGTTCAAATTGTGGACAAATGGCTGTAAGGAGAACAAATCCGACTCTTGTTTTTTAAGGGCTAACCAGATTCCGGTGTTCCCCTTGAGTTGGACCTGGAACCTACGAGTGACGTCTAAACTGTTCTCAGTCCCCTATTTTCCTGTGAGATCGTCGAGATCGATCGAGTGCTCACCTTTAGGCAGCCATTTTGTAATTGGTTTTAAGTGTATCGAGGGGCCGTGGGGACAGGCATCGGGGTTTAAGGCGGAGGGGAAAGGGAGGCGAGAAAAGACGTCCCTCGTCCCCTAAGTAGATGAGATGGTCATCTTCAAGCTAGACTCGGTCAACATGGCCGCCTGTAGCGCCCGTCCTCGACAATCTTACCTAAAAACAGTCTAAGTGAAGTCCTGTATGGGAACTTTTCACACGTACTACTCAACAAGAGGAATAAAATGGTCTTTTGACTTAACTATAGCCTGAGTTTAGTCGTAACATGTTACGATGAGTAAAGAATCTCTTTAAGTGTCCTTGGGGCCCAAAAAGTTGATTCTTTGTTCTTTTGTACAAGGTTGATTAAAATTCTCTCTCCTTGCACCAAAAGAACGACTGGAAACGCACTAGATGTTATTCTGAATAACATGTCCGCTAAAAGTCAGTAAACCAGACGTAGTTAGTCGGTAAACCAATAATCGATAATAATAGATAGTAATCGATATCAATTATCGATGAATATCGATTTCCAATTGAAATCAATAATGATTGATTTATTGATTGTTATCGATTACTATCGACTATTATCAGAAAAGGCTTTTTCCGTGCGGAGTCATTCAGTCGTGGGATTATGCAGTTCTTTCTTGAATTTATAAAATACTAACTGAAAAAACCACTGACAGGAACAAATTGCTCTTTGTTTCGATTTTTTTAGCTTAAGCACAGCTCATAACAAGGAAAGAAATTGCTGCGAAAGTGGCAGAAAATAACTCAATGTCGCTGTAGTAACTCGATAGGCATGGAGCCTACCAAGTAAGATTTCTTATGCTGATTATGCCAAAAGATGGCAGCGATCTGGAGGAGTCAATGACCGTGTATATAACGAATTGAATTGGATTCCAGTGTCCTCGAGATTGCAAGGAAAGAAATGCAAGATGAAGTCGATGGCGCAGGATTGGATGGACATGTAAAGATCTATTAAAACAAACCAGGAAACGAAAGAAACAAAAAAAATGGAATGAGATGAAGACGGCGCCTGGAGCGGTTGATGACGTCATAAATAAGCTTTAGCCGGTCTCATGGGTGTTGCTTGCCAAATAGCGTCGTCATGTTCAGAATATTCACTTCAAGCTTATTGCTTGTTATCGATTACTATAGATGTTATAGATTTTTGATAATCGATAATAATCGATAGTATTTTTACTGTGACGTCGATTTCTATCGATTCCCGATATCAATCGATAGCAATCGGCGGATTAAATCGATTGATATCATTGATATCGATTTCTATCGATTAACTACGTCTGGAGTAAACAACGGTCCAAAAAGAGGTTCTTAAGTAGATTAGTCTGCTATAACCAGTACCGCGAAGTATAAAATACAACTGATAAAATGAAACATTTGAGACAACAGTGTAGGTTTAACTATAAAAAAACCATTTCACCCTGATACACTCAATGGAGGTCGGGTCTAAAGTTCAAGTCACATTCCACAGGTTGAGTACAGATCACTGCTCCATCGATAAATTATCAGACCTCGAAGATTCCCCTCGATCTATTAGAGCATTTTGTTAACGGATCAGGGCTAGGAGACACTTTTAATGCTATTAATTTATCTGTATCATGGTGGCCTGTACTCTGGTTGACCTGTGGAAACGGTGAGCTGTATTTTAGACCCGCCGTTTGTTTCAAGAACCAATGCGCTTCTGGTTGGTGATTAATATCAATAGGTGACGTCATCTTGAGTATCGCTATATTAACATATAGGTGGATTCATTTGCAACATTCGGGTTTTCAGGCTTTAAAACAATAAAACATTCCAGCAGGCAAATGCGACAGCTATGCGCGTATGTTGCAAATGAATCCACCCTATGCTTCAACCCTAAAGCCCTTTATGCCAAAGTCCATTTTAGCCTACTCTGGGAATCATTGAACCTTCTGGGTTAACAATTTGGGCATGGATTTTCTGTTACTTGAGGACTGATACCGGATGCACCACTATCGGGGAACTCAGAACGGCAATGCTAGACCAGGGTGACCGTCGATGGAGAATCCATGTTGTCGGAGCTAGCGCTCGACCAAAACTAAGTACTTTTTGTCTGCTTTTTTTTTATATTTTCAAGCAACAAAAATTGGTCGTTTCATTTTTTGACTATTTGTCTACATTCACCATTATCCTTGCTAAACTTTAGAAACTTTAGAGGCTGAAATAAATCATACGACGACCACAAAATTGTTTGGCACCTTTAATTCCATGTCATGTGGATACTGACTGTCCATTATAATTATGAAAATAATACAACACTACATGCGTATTGATGTAGACGGAAAAGCCTCTCAAGCGACTCGCTGCATTCATATGACTATTATTTTGTTTTGCTTAAAACCGGAACTTCTCATAGGTAGTTCACCATTTAACTTAATAACCGTGCTTAATTTATGACAGTTGACGGAGGTCACATCAATTCATCCTGATAAACAGGCTCCTCTTGAGGTTGGTCTCTTTGATCTGCAGCTTCAGCGTTTTCATATTCGCTTCCAGCAGCTGGATCCCGTCTGGAATCTCAGCCTGATCCTGAAGCGTCCCCGCTTGACCCTGGAGATTCTTTGCTTGGATCTGCAGTATTCTCACCTCGATCTTCCACTTCTTGGGTTTGATCTTGATTGTCTGACTTGTGTTGGGAAGCACTTTGAGCACTGCCTCCCTGAACAGCGTCTCTGCTGGGCAATGTCCACACCGTTCTTCGAGACCCTTTGTTTTCGTTGAAACAATTGCAGTAAGATCCAGCGACTTGCCAGCCACATCCATGCCATCCCCAGTATTCATTGTAGTTTGCAACTGCAGAGATCTTTCTGCCACACGTGTCTTGTTTGACTGCTTCGTACTTAACGCACGAT